TAGCGCTGGGTTTGTGGGCTGCAGGTCTGTGTTGAATAAACAGGCTTTCTGTCTCTATTTTCTAGCTTCTGAAACTGAAGCAGAGAGTTAGCAAGCAAGTCACCACTTCCAAGTGGAGACTTCTGACTCTAGTCCTAATAATCTTTTCAATTTGATCACTAAAGAGATTAGTTGTTTTATAGAACCTAAAATTTTCCTCAAAATTAAGAGGTTTCAGGGTAAAGGACTTTGCACATGAGTTAATCAGTTAATGAAATACCCATGCTGAGGTTTGGTAAACAATTCCACCAGAGGTGAGACTTCTGGGGATAAATGAGCCAAACAGCTGAATGCATGCTTTAAGCCCCATTAACAGAATCTCTCTCTGTTAGTTATTGGGGGGGAAAAACAACACCATAAAGCACACACACACCAGTTTGCAGAACAATACTAAGAGAATATTAGCTGGTGTAATGCAATTTGAATTACTTCCAAAGGTGGCACTTCATGGTGAAATCAGAAAAGCAGGTTCAGAGAACAAGTTCTCCTGGTCCCTGTTGTAACTGGCATCACGTCACAAATTGAAGGTGTGTCTGAGTCATTAGTACACGTGAACAAAGTCTGCCTCCACCTTTCGCTTACCTCTGTCAGTTCCAGTAACACCTGGAGGTGCACAGAGCGGGAAGTGGAGAGAGCAGAAGCCATGAACCTTGTCTTGGATCTCCTCCTGCTTCTGGCCACCATTGTCTACTCTTACTTGGAGTCTCTGGTGAAGTTCTTCATTCCTCAGAGAAGAAAATCTGTGGCTGGGGAGATTGTTCTCATTACTGGAGCTGGCCATGGGATAGGCAGGTTGACAGCCTATGAATTTGCAAAACAGAAAAGCAAGCTGGTGCTGTGGGACATTAATAAGGTAAGGGTTTCATCTGCCCATCTTGTTAAAAGTCACAAACTAACACGTTTTAAAAAGGTATTTCATGCAGCATCTATTTATCTTTGTATTTTTATATTTTCAAAGCCTTATAAAAGAATTCCCTGGAACCTTATTCTATGCATGCAGCAGGCTGGTTAGAGAAAGGGAACGTAATTTAATCTGAGCAGTGCTTTCGGCATCATGAGATGAAGGTTAATGACATAGATTTAGGAGACAGGTTCCTTTCAAGATGTAAACTTAATTTTTCTGTGCTTCAGTATCTGTGACTCTGAAATGGGGATGATACCATATGGAATGGGCAATCACGGGAGCTGGCAAATTATAAACCAAATTCACTGCTATCAAATCAATTGCAACTCACAGCAAACCTATAGAGCACAGTAGAACTTGGGTTTCCCAGGCTGTAGGGCAGCTGCCTCTTTCTCTTGCCGAGCAGCCGGTTGGTTTGAACTACTGATCTTATTATCAGCCCAACCGTAAGTCAACCTATGGGCAGTTGAGTTAAGGTTGAAAACATTTTTTGAATGAAAAAAAAATTTTTTTGCAAAAAATTTTTAAAATGGTAAAAGAAAGAAAAGTATGTGTTAAAGCCTTTTGTGCCTGCCCTCTGATCTCCCAATTCAAACCTATAACACTTCCTATCTGACCCTTTACAGGAAAGGTTTGCCAGCCTTTGAATGAGAGAGTTAAATAAGTGACTCTTCGAAGTGCTGAGGTCGGCCTTATGCGGGTTGGATAAAGTAGACATGTAGTCAGGTTTTCTCTCGGGTATGCACATTTTACTTCCACTCTTCTTCTTTCTTCCTTTTTTTATAAAAATCATTTTATTGGGCGCTCCTACAGCTCTTATGACAATCCATACATCCACCCATTGTGTCAAGCACATTCGTACATAAGTTGCCATCATCATTTTCAAAACATTTTCTTTCTACTTGAGTCCTTGGTATCAGCTCATTTTCCCCCAACCCCCTCTCCCTCCCTCATAAACTCTAGATAATTTATAATTTTGTCCATTCCTTACACTAACTGCTGTCTCCCTTCACCAACTTTTCTGTTGTCTGACCCCCTGGGAGGGAGTTATATGTAGATCATTGTGATCAGTTGCCCCTTTCTCCCCCCATCTTCCCCTTACCCTCCTGGTATCGTTACTCTCATTATTGGTCCTGAGGGGGGTTATCTGCCTTGGATTCCTGCCTATCTAATCTAAATAAACATGCAGAGACAATAATAAGCACAAAAACAAGACAAAGCAAAACAAAACAACAACAACAATAAAACAATGACAAAGGGATAAGTGATCCAAAATTGATGGCGAGGAGTGTGTGGGAGGCCTGGTAGGGCTTGATCCAAGGCAATGTAACTGAGAGGAATTACTGAAACTCAAATGAAGGCTGAACATGATAGTGGGACAAGAGGAAAGTAAAAGGGAATAGAAGAAAGAACTAGGAGGCAAAAGGCATTTATAGAGATCTAAATACAGGCATGTATGTAAATATACTTATATATGACAATGGGGAAATAGATCTATGTGCATATATTTAAAGGTTTAGTATTAAGTTAGCAGATGGATATTGGGCCTCTACTCAAGTACTCCCTCAATGTAAGAACAGTTTGTTCTACTAAACTGGCATTCCATGATGCTCACCTTCCCAATATGATCCCTAAAGACAAAGTGGGGGCATAAGCAAATGTCGTGAAGAAAGCTGATGATGCCCAGCTCTCAAAAGTTATAGCACCTGGGGTCTTAAAGGCTTGAAGATAAACAAGCAGCCATCTAGCTGAGAAGCAACAAAGCCCACATGGAAGAAGCACACCAGCCTGTGTGATCATGAGGTGTTGATAGGATCAGGTATCAGGCATCAAAAAACAAAAAAATCCTATCATTGTGAATGAGGGTGAGTGCAGAGTAGGAACCCAAACCCATCTGTAGGCAACTGGACATCCTCTTACAGAAGGGTCACATGGGGGAGACGAGCCAGTCAGGGTGCAGTATAGCAACGATGAAACATACAACTTTCCTCTAGTTCTTAAATGCTTCCTCCTCCACACTAACATGATCCAGTTCTACCTTAAAAATCCAGCTAGACCAGAGTAAACACATTGGTACAGATAAGAACTTTGGACACATGGAATTCAGTACAAATAAAACCCTCAGAAACAACAACCAAAAAACCCCTCAAGAGCAGTAGTAGGAGTAGTGATATCATGAGAGGAGGGGGATGGTGGACGGAGGGGGAGAACGGGGAAACTCATCACAAGGCTGGATATATAGCCCCCGCCCCTCCCACCATAGGGAACAAATAACAGACTTGTGGGTGAAAGGAGACAACAGACAGAGTAAAACATGAAATAACAACAATAATATATAATTGATCAAGGATTCACGAGGATGGGAGGGTGAGGGAGGGAGGGGAAAAAAAGAGGAGCTGATACCAAGGGCTCAAGTAGAAAGAAAATGTTTGGGAAATGTTTATGGCAACATATGTATAAGTATGCTTAATACAACTGAATGATGGATTGCCACAAGATTTGTAAGAGCCTCCCAATAAAATTATATTAAAAAATAATAAGATAAAATTATCTTCAACTAACTAAATAAAAAGATTGTGCCTGTACCCTTGCAAGTTCTCTTTGAATTCTTGAGTTTAAAGCTAAACATTTAAAATACTAAATAATTCACTGTAAGGCTATACATGTAGCATGGATTTCTTTTAGTCTAGGAAGGTGCCAGCTGCCATTTTGTTATAGCTGGCTCCTTTTGATCCACAAAAGAGAGTTAATTTAGCAGTTTGGCCCTTATTCAATCGAAATTGCTGCTCTAGGAGCGCAGTGATAAGTGGAGTAAACAAATCACACTGGAGTTGAAGACGAAGAAAGCACGTTACTTATCAAATGACCAGTAGTGCTGTCGTTCAGCTAAACAACAAAAGGTGGTGGTGGTTGTTTTAATTCACTTGTTATTGTGAATGGAAGGTTGACAAGGAGGACCTCCAGTTTTACATTCACCGTTTATACACATCCTGTTTCATCTCATTCACTGCAGTCTTTTCCACGCAACATCCTTATCACATTTCCTCTTTGGGTTCCTGTTTCCATTCCACCTTCTCAAACCCTTCTGAACTTTGTCCTCGAGTAAATGCTGTCTTTTCCATCTCAAAAGGCTGATTGTTCTAAGGTGTGCATTCCTCACTAGTGTTATTGTTCCCCTTTATAGACCTGTCTATTGTTTGGCTGAAAACTGAGCCACAGGGAGGGAGTTCAGTTCCAGACCTAAAGAGTGGCTAAAGGTTATTATCTCAAGGGTCCCACCAGTCTCTATCCAATCAGCAAGTCTGGTCTCCATGATCTTGAGTTTTGTTTCTCAATACTCTCCCACTCTGTACAGAACCAAGATAAAAGTCTTTTAAATTATTTAAGCAATGTGTCTGATTAAAGCTCTAGGGATTGATGTTCTGTACTGGCATTGATATCAAGACAAGAGAGAATGTGGAATGGTTTTTCTTGCAATCTGCTTGTAAGCAAGCTCGCAGTTGAAGCTTAACTCAGTGAAAGTCTCCCCTGTCCTCTCCTTTGTATTTTTCTGCAATCCCCCAAAAGACTATCTGAGGGGATAGTTACCTTGCAATTAGTGGGGTGACTCTTAATTCTGCCAGGATCTAATCTTTGGGGGTTCAGGCAGCTGCTCTAGAGTCAACACATGGTGACAAAAATACAAGGGCTATTCAGATGAATAATTGAACTACTGAATTGTATGATATGTGGATTAGGTGCCAATAAAAATGTAAAAAAAATAGAAGAAATGCAAAGAGTCCCTGGGTGGTGTAACCAGCTAACCTGTTTAACTGCTAACAGAAAGGTGAAAGATTCAAATCCACCCAGGGGTTCCTTGAAAGAGACCCCAATGAGCACAGTTCTACTCTAACACGTGTGGAATTGAAATTGAGTCTGGGGCAACTGGTTAGTTAGTGAAATACAAAGACCCAGGGGAGGCTAAGAGAAAACAGCCTGACCACTCATCCAGGGACCACCCCAATGCCTTTGACAGCACCAACATCCTAGTATGCTAAGAAAAGACTTCTTCAGATATCTTTGCCTCAATTGCCGAGAAAAGCTAACAAAGCGTGTGGAGTAAAGGTGTAATTTTAAAATGTCTTCCTCTTTAGCTAAAGCAAAATGTATTTGAATTTAGGTAAGTTGCTGTGTCTGTCTGTTCTGAGAATATATTTTGTTACATGATTGAGAAAGCATTCCTGTGGTCCTTACCCATTTTCATTCCAGAACACGTAAAGAAGACCTTGTCTTCTCAAGAGTGGTGTGTCAGGTGCTGCTGTAAGGCTGGAAGCTGTGCCACCAGCATTCCAAAAGTCCACGGAGTCACTGATGGTGGACAAGTTTCAAAAGAGTTTCCAAGCAGACTACAAAGAAAATCCTGCTGATCAAGTTCCAAAAATCAACCAGTGAAAGCCCTGTGGAACGCGATAGAATAGTGTGGAAAGTGGGCCCCCTAGGTTGGAAGACACACACACACACACACACACACACACACACACACAAAGATGTATCAAAAAGAAAGTTCTATGCTTTTCTATATGGTCTAACCAATCTAATATGCATAGAGGACCGGACAACCTTTCCGTTGTATGTGGGGTAGACATGAGTGTGGGGCAACGCAATTCACCGCAGTTAATAACAGCAGAAGCACTAGCACTGTCTCCCTACAAAAAACTACCCGCACAGCTGTGGGGTCAATGCTGGCTCATCGTGACCTTACAGGGCAGAGTAGAACTGCCCCTATGTGTTCCTGGGACGGTAACTCTTGGCAGGAATAGAAAGTCCCGTCTTTTTCCCACAGAGGGGCTGATGGTTTCAAACTGCTCACCTGGAGTTTAGCTGCCAATTCGTAACCACTACCCACCGGGCCGCCCCCTCCTGTAACAGTCATCCTCAAATAAGACTGCAGTGAAAACAGAATCATGGCCCCAAACGGGGTGAGACAGGGACACAGTGTTTGAACAAGTTTCAAATTGCAACTTGGCACTTCTCAGTTATGACTGTGGCTGCTTAATAATATGTGCTTAATGAACGTTTGAGTGTTTCTTTCTTCCCTGTATTCATGTATCTCCCCCCCACACCATCATAAGTAACATCTTTCAAGAATATTCTTCAAGTTGAGAGTAACCCATCTTACAGAAATTGCCTAATGAAGAACCTTCAAACCAAGACAATAATGAAAAGAAAATGTAGGGGTTTTGTTGTGTTTTGTTTTTCCCTTTGCTGCAAAATGGCCGACCTTAAGACAGCACACAAGGTGAAAACGCTAGAGCACCCTCGGGGAGAAAAACCAGGCCCAATCGGGGCAAAATAGGAACTTCGTCTTTCCCAAGAGATTTTCTTTAAAGGAGGCATTTTAGATATAAATTTTAACCTTTTAAGAAGTTTCTTCTCCATTACTCTCACTCTCACTCACATCCCTTGCCTCACTTACATTTTCCTTCGTTTGTTTGTTCCAATCGCAGCATGGCGTCGAGGAAACTGCTGCCCAATGCCGAAAACTGGGAGCCACCGCGCATGCGTTTGTGGTAGATTGCGGAAACAGAGAAGATATTGATAATGGGGTCAACCAGGTGAGACTTCTTTTCCCAGATAATTGTCATGCACGGCCGCAGTCATGGGCAATGAAAAAGCCTTTTAAATCCGCCTGATTTAAATGAGAGGTTAGCTCTTGTGAATGGCATGTGTGGTATATACTTTGTGTTGCGGGACTGTTGTTTCATATAATCAATCCAAGTCACTCTAATCTAATCAGGAGGTTGGCGGTGGCACAAAGTGACGGAGAAAAGAGTTGTCATCAGGGACCATGGATCACTTTCAAGTCTCACCGTAATCCTTTTATTTTAACAGCAATTCCTTTTTATTCCCTTTCATTATTACCTCAGTCTGATTCTAGTTATGCCGGTGGCCATCTAATCGTCTGTAGAAAATGTAGCGTTACTATTCGATAATATCATTGTCGTAATGTAATTTTAAAGGAGTAAATATCAAGCATTCAAAATGAGCCAGGTGCTCTTATAAGCTGTTACATTAGATGAATTAATGAATCGCCTTACGTACTCTGGACATGTGGTCAGGAGAGACCAGTCGCTGGAGAAGGACATCGCGTTCGGTATAGAGGAGAAACAGCGGACAGAGGAAGGTCCTCTAGGAGATAACTGACTGTGTGGCTGCAGCACTGGCTCAAGCTTAGTGCACTTATGAGGAAGGTGCCCAAGGGGACAGTGTCCCAGCTTCTGCCCCGAAGGTCGGTATGAGTCTGAACCAACTCGATGGCACCTGACAGCATTATCTCATTTTACAGATGAACAAATTAGGCTCAGATATTTTAAATCAATAGCCAAAATTCCTGGAGCTAGTTGGTAGTAGGATCAGAATTATTCATTCAACCGTGTAAAAATGTTTGGTTAGAATTCCATGGTCTGTTTATCTACATAAGATAAACAATCCTGAGGAGGGAAAAACTGGAGAAGGGGGTGTAGGGGATAGGAAGGGGGAAACCAACAAACTCGGGGACAAGGGAACAGAGATCTAAAATTGATGATGAGGAGGGTATAGAATGCCTGGTGGGGTTTGATCAAGTACAGTGTAGCTGAGAGAAATTACTGAGAGCCAGATAAAGGTGAACATTATAATGGGACAGGAGGAAAGTAAAAGGAAATAGAGTAAAGAACTAGGAGAAAAAGGACATTTATAGAAGTATAAATATAGGCATGTTTATAAAAATATATTAATATAACAATAGGGTCATAGGTCTAAGTACATATATTTGTATGTTAAGTATCAAGGTAGTAGACCACCATTGGGCCTCTATTCAAGAACTCCCTCAATGCAAGGACACTTTGTTCTAATAACCTGGCATTCCATGATGCTCACCTTCTCAACACGAAGTCAAAATGGGTGCATAAGCAAATGTGGTGAAGAAAGTTGATGGTGCCCAGCTATTACAGGGTATAGTGTCTGGGGGTCTTAAAGGCTTGAAGTTAAACAAGCAGCCATCTAGCAGGGAAGCAACAAAGCCCACCCACCTGTGTGATCATGAGGTGTTGATGAGATCAGGTATCAGGCTTCAAAGACCCAGAACAAAAAATTATATCGATCGATGTGAATGAGGGGTGTGGGGGGCAGAGTGGAGACCTAAAGCCCATCTGTAGACAATTTGACATCCCCTTACAGAAGGGTCACAAGGAAGATACAAGCCAGTCAAGGGTACAGTATAGCACCAACGAAACGCAAATTCCTCTAGTTTCTTAATGCTTCTCCTCCTAGTCCCCACGATCATGACCCCAGTTCTACTTTAAAAATCTGGCCAGACCGAGCATGTACAGTGTTACAGGTAAGAGTTTTCAACTTATGGACCCCAGGACAGATAAACCCCCTCAGGGACAATAATGGGAGTAGTGATACCATAAGGGTAGGAGGAAGGTGGGGAGAAAAGGGGGAGAGGGGGAGAGGGGGGAGCCAATCACAATGATCCGTTAATACACACACCCCTCCTCAGGGGGATGAACAACAGAAACATGGGTGAAGAGAGACAGCAGACAGTGTAAGATATGAAAGTAATAATAATTTATAATTCATCAAGGATTCACAAGGGTGGGAGGGTAGGGATGGGGGGAAATAAAGAAGAGCTGATACCAAGGGCTCAAATAGAAAAAATGTTTTGGAAATGATGATGGCAACATATGTGCAAAGGTGCTTGATGTAGGGATTGTTATAAGAGCTGTAAGAGCCACAATAAAGGGCTGAGATGTTTTCAGAATGTACAATTGCTCTTTGATATAAAGTTCTCTCTTACACACACACACACACACACACACAAAGATGTATCAAAAAGAAAGTTCTATGCTTTTCTATATGGTCTAACCAATCTAATATGCATAGCTAAAATTATTCTAATGACAGGACCAATATTTCTGCTACTTTTTATAAAAGGATTTTGTAAGGGCAGCTTTTGTTTCAATACAAAAATATGTTTTATGTACTTGGCTCACAAACAAATCATCCAACCTAGACTCAAAGCATCAAATGCAGAGGAAAGAAATAAAATACGTACTGGTTAAAAAAAAAAAAAGAGCCACAATAAAATGATTTATAAAACAAAACAAAACAAAAAAGAATGTAAACAAGTGGCCATCTAGCTCAGAAGCAACAAAACCCACATGGAAGAAGCACA